TCTGAAAACCACTGAATACATTTATTATTATTATTGTGAAGCATATATATCATTGTGTCATTAACAATAGAAATAAAAAAAATAAAAGTAAATATTAAATAAATATGGAAGAAGCATTTTTATGTCAATCACTGGATTAATATAATACTAGCCAATGACTTGGCCTTTCTTATTTCATGGGTACAATGTATTAATATATCTTATCCATGGTAATATTGACCTTCACTTAATCCAGAAATCTTTGAAATCCATCTATGGATCATACTAAAAAGTTAGCATGTAAAAGCAAAATACTGTACATAGTATATGGGAAATGTATCAATGTATATTTTTAAATTTGATTTCTTAAAAATTTGTAATATAGGTCTACATTAGTAGGCTTAATAATTAAGTATTATTAGATAGCCAAGGCTTTAATTTAGTATAGTGGGTTATTACTTACACTACACCGACTTCTGCACGTAAAAATGGACCAGTCCACTGAATAGCAAGTGTCACTGCTGAAAGATACATTGTTCAATTATTCACAGTTGGTATAAAGACACGCCTACACCAAGTATAAAAAGATCTCATTGTGCAATGAAGAAAAGTTATTGATGATAGATTTGTAGGTACAGTATTTGTATTTGTATTTGCATTGAATACAATTGTGCACATCGTGAGGTCGTAGCAAACTGTCAAAGCTTTACGACTCAGCAGTTTTAACTATCCTACAAGTACGGTATTAACAGAAGCACTGAACTACAAATTGTTCTTCAATATTTTTGTTTGTTTCATCTGTGATTCTGTATTCAGGACTATTTGGAGAAGGGTTTAGAAGTCTGTTCTCTGCAAGGACTACACTCAAGTGGAAACAACAACATGAATGACTCTGTCGACTGCGAATATGAAATGAAAGATATACTTTTGTTTACTTTCAAGACTGAGGACCGATACTTGTATATAATTATTATATCATACATTTTAAGTATACTATCGATTGTGCTTAATACGTATATATTTCTCACCTTCATTACTGAAAAATCTCTTCGAAAGCGTCACTACATTTTCACAGCTTGCTTGTCGGTGTCTGATGCTCTCTTTGCTACAACTGTTCTCGTTGTAGTCACTAGTGCTGAGTCTTTTAGCAGTAATGGACTACTTGTACTCGCAACTCTAAGAACAACATCAGTCATGGCATCTTTCCAATTATTAGAAGCAATTGCAGTTGAAAGGCTCTTTGTTATCGTTTTATACCCGCTGGATAAAAACATAAATTCCCCATCACGACTTTTGACAGTCTCTGCACTAATCTCACTTGGGTCCCTAGCAATTTCAGGATCGCTGCATTTTACGGACGGCTATAATCAACTGGCGATAATCATACCGATTTGGAATATCGCAGTGCTACTGTTACTTACTGTCACATACATTATTATTTATCAGTCTATTGCCAGGCATGAGAAAAAAATTGCTGGACATAGATCGCAAGAGTTTCAAATATCGAAAAAACTGTTAAAAACATTTTCAATAATCATTTGTTCATGTACAATTTGCTGGTTGCCTGCTGATATTCTGTCATTTGTGGATTTGTTGGGGGATGGGATCTGTCGCTCCCATTATTATATTGACATTTATTCATTTGGTTTCAATTTGGCGTTAACCTATTCAGTTATCAATCCTTTGGTTTATGGCAGAGGGATTGTAGAATTAAGGAATGTTAATCGTACACGTATGGCAAGAATGTGCAGAAAACCGAGAGAATAATTGCGTACCGTGAAGTTACAAATAAAATGAGTGGATTGTTAAATTGAAACATGCAGAGCTCTCTATCATCTGATTGGCTGGTCATCATCTTTATGTGACCCAGACATGAGAGAACTATGTACACACAGAGAACACAGTACTGTAGCAGTGCTGTAAACCAATTTTAATAGAAAATTTAATTCCTGTGTATCTCTGTCATGTTTTAAACCCACCTGTATATGGGTTTATGAACTTGTAAGTTTTAAAACATATTTATCATTTTCTTTAACTTGTTAGTGTCGGATGTTTTTCTTGAAAGATTAAAATAATGTGTGCAAATTAATTCAATTTTATGACTTCAATTATTTAAAAACTACTATATTACTATGTATATTAATCATTTTTATTGTGTAAAATTGTGTGTTAAGTGTGTCTGAATTCAGTCAAATACTGTAGACATTATATGATGAATACATAGTCAAGAATGATTGTGGTGTAATTATTAAGCAATATTGTTCAATATTTTTTGTTATTTTTTCTGTATTGTGTACACCTTTGATGCCAATTATAATAAAATAAAGTAATCTGTATCATGCTCTGTACAAGAATTAGTTTTTCAAATGAAAACTAGAATGAGCAAAAGTTATCCGCCAACATTTTACTCGAGTAAAATGTCTGTAAATCATTTAAACTTGACTTTTTTTGTGACTTTGTGGTTTTTATTATTATATTAGGTGTGTGTGTGTAAGTCTAAGGTGAGAAAAATGCGAGTATCACAGAATTTGAACCTGATTGTAATTATTGTAATACAAGCATCTTGACCACCAGTGGGTATATAGGATTTTTGAAAAGCTGTGGTAAGACTGATGGGGAAATGGAGGAGGGTAGCTTGATGATTAAGTGAGAGGACTAGGTCACAAAATAAGAGGATGAGAGTTGATTTTTTTGCTTCGGACATTTACAATGGGAAGGAGGGGGCGCAAGCTTTATTGGGGGCATGCTCCCCACCCTTAGTACACCAATGTTAAGCACCAAAGTTACATGGCCATATTGACAGAAGTGTCAAATTTGAAATATATATACAAATAATAGTCTTAAATGTATGGCATTAGGTTCTTTGTACCATGAAAGATCTAAAACAAAAAAATAAGCTAAAAAAAAAGTGGCTGTATTTTTATCTTTCATAATGTGTTTCAATCTTGTATTTCTATTTTAAATATAGTAACAAAATGTGAGTACACTATTAGTTATAACTCAAAATAATAAAATGACCATTGTGGCTATGTTATATTTTATTTTAATTTAACAGTATTGTTGACAAATAATATTTAATAACAAAAACAACTAAAGCAAAACCTGGCATGTGTCTTCAAAACACAGTGAAAATATAAATTATCTTATCTTTGCCTTTATTATCTGATTTTAAGAAGTATTTCTATTATTATTATTATTATTATTATTATTATTACTGTATATTTTTTCCCACAATGGTATGTTTATTTCTAATATCTGAATATTTTCATTTTTAATGTGGTTATTTCAATATTCTATTCAATCTTTATATTTAATTCCTCATGAAATCTCTCTGAAAGTACAATTATAATATTTATTTTTGTAAGAATGAGACATACCGTAGCATCTACAATGGTATTTTTCTTACACATGTTGTACCTGCAATATTTTATTGATCCGTGCATATTGATGTTTACTAGTATGACTTGCTGTGACAATAAAAAAAAAATGTTACAGGATGCAAAAGGATTCATGTCTGCATCTAGCAATTTAAGTGATACAGATTGTATACGATGACAATAAAAAAATGTATTATGATAGTGGTCTTGTTACATGGAGCACCTTCCAAAATCAATTCAGTTTCTCAACATGCATACAAATTTGTGTCTCATGAAAATTATTAATAAAACGATTTTTAATGAAAGATCAATACTACTTTAAATGCATACTGTACAGTACTTCAAAACAAGTTTATCTGTTATACAAAACGGGTTCAGTGATCTGATGAGTATCACGCACCAACCTTGAAAATGCAATATCAATGTGAATGCAATTCATGTCATAATCCACACCACCCACGCAACCCTGTTGTGTTCCTGTACTGTTTACAGTACAGTGGATTCTCAAGATTATGTTTAATATTATTGTGGATGCAACATACATGCTAGAAGTTGGATACCTTAAAGGGTGCACTAGGTGTGTAGGCCCAATGGTAGGCTTACCACCATACACCACAGATCACAAGGTACACAGGAATTGGTACAGGAAATGTACACTCAATCGAAAAAATCATGAGGTGGATATAGGAAATCACTTCAATTATTTCCTTTCCCACAAACTACAACTTGACTCCTTGGTCTGAATTTGAATTTGTTTTCTTTACCACCTCAATGTCACTTTTTTTAGTTATACTCTGATTCCAAATTATTTCAAGTTATTTCTCTTTGAAAATAATTGAAATTAAACACCACATCTCTTTGCCACACAGAGTTAGATCATAATATACTGTATAGGGTGTTAGAAAATATTAGGTTGCTGAAGCAAGCATTAATTGAGTAGCTCTTTCAGACGTTGCAGCCCCTGGAATTCAAAATTGGGAGATTGGAGGTACACTAGCGCGCTGGAAAAATGTGCTCCTGTCTAATAAATATTGAAAATCTAATTTTTTTTCTTGCATGGATTCTAATTGATAGCATTTCTTAAAAGTGATATTTCGAGGTGTCACAGTGGCAGTAATCAAAATCAAATGTTTTCACCAACCAGGTGTAATATTTATTGTAGGCCTTTTGAAAATGGTTAATTTTAACACTTTTTTTTTTAATGCAATTGAAAATATCTAAATTTTGGAACAATTTCTTTGTATTTATTTACTTTGTTCATGATGTTGAAAAATACAAATATAAGATCGTGCTTAGTGGGTATGTGTGAGTTTTAGCCTTTGTAATACAAGTTGTGCATTATTGATAGGCATGGCACTGCTAAATCCAATTCAATGGCAATTCATGGATTACTGATACCGCCCCGCCCCAACTAAAATTTTGCTGAGATGTGGTGCTAAACAAGTATTTTATTTATATGGCCTAATCAAGGCAACAGATAATACATTTAATTATAGATCATTAATTAATAAATGTGGCAGCTTACATTTAATTAATCCAAACTTTCATGCTGCAATGCAGCATTTTGCCATTGGTAACATATGTACTTGACTATAACAACAGGTCTGTTCACAGAAGGCAAATATACCACAATCCAATCATCAATTTATATTAATATTCTGTCAATTATTCTTTAATCAATACCACAATCAAGGACAAAATTACTATATTATTTGCTTTATTCAATAACTCACCAATATACTGAATGGATTGTTCTCAATTTATACAATGCTTCTTTAGACCAAGCAGAAAAAAAACCCTGAAAATTAAGGTTATTAGTCTCTTCAATTATGCAAATATATTCAGAATTTCAAAATAAAAAATAATAATAAAAAAAAAACAAAACTGAAAATTTACATCATTGTTTTTCAGACTTTAAATAAAGATGATTGATTTGATTGATTGACAGTAGAACCACTCCTTAGTACACCCTGATTTAGAATACATTTAAAGCAAAACGAGGGAAATAAATCTTTTTAATATACATTCCAGTACCTTTATAAAGGGATGTGAACACTTTCAGAGTATACCAAAGGGTCAATTTGACCCATAGGTATCCAAAAAATATAATAGACCCAAAATAGCATTTATTTCCAAGCTTCATTTTGACAAAATTTTAACTATAAACTCAACAGTAAACTAACAATTTTCTTGATCCTTAAAATGGATATGGTATAGACCTATTGTTTTAGGTCTCTATACATCTTAGGTGGACTTTTTGTCCAATGTGGATTTTATCAAATTCTTCATTGGCTATACAGTTACCATGGAGTTCTATGCTGTAATGCTGTTTCAATTTTGCCCTTAGCCACTGAAATGATTATTCATTTTTCCAATTTACTTTCATATGTGATTCCAATCCATATTTTGCACCCCAATATATATTAAGTCGTTACGATGGCTAACTTTTTTTATGCTGCTGACTAGTTTACCAGCAAAATGCATGAGGTAAAGTTATAGTCTGCAAGTGAGTAAAATTATGCCTTGGCCTATGGAAACAAAATGCATGCTAGCTGACTTTGATGATCAGATATCGCAGTGCTTGGGCTACAAAGTTTTCAGCCTTACGAAAATTTACTTTACAAGAGAGTAAGATACACATGATCTAATGAAGAGCAGCCACAGCAGCGAGAACTTGTTTTAAATGAGGTTCTTTAACACATTGTATTTTGCTGTGTATGATGACACCCATGTCCAGCTTCAGGGAGACAATAAGTTCCATAAGGAATGGGTTTAAGACTGGTGTAACAATAGTCACTGCCTAATAATAGTATTTTTTGCTCACTGGAGTACATATGACTATGCCAATTTCTGTAACTTCAATTATGCTTGGGAACCAAACTCTACAATTTCTATTTCATCATGCAATGATAATGAAATAAAGAAAAATGAATGTGAATATTTAATAAATCATATTTATTGTAATTGTTGTTACATAGTTATTTGCCAGAAATGCAACATACTAGTGAAATATACAAAAATCATCATAGTACAGTAATAAGGCATTAAATATTATTAAATTCTCTTCTATTATTTTTAGATATTAGTGATTAAAACAATAAAGTTTGTCATTAATGGCACAAGTTTCAGATTTCTACACAGTTTTCCCTTTTAGTTCTTCAAGAAAATAATTTGATTTTTATGTTATGCAACAATCACTCCTGCTCAGAGCATCACAATAGGCCTACTATAACACAATAGAAATTACAGTACAGTATTACAATATAATACAGTTAAACTTGCCTAAGTTGACTTGAATAATTTTTAAGTCGATCTTATTTTACATGTCAAATTGTTTCCATTAATAATTAACGATCTGTAAGTCAAATTTTAGTCAAACAGTTTTTCAATGACATTTTGGATTCGACTTTAGGCAAGTTCAACTGTAATTTATTTCTGTTATCATGAAACATGGACAGTCACAAGTTTATTTCAAGAAATCAGCAGTTGATCATCTAGATTCAATTTATTTGTTGCTACTTGCACTATAGCATTTGATATAACCTTCCTCTCAATCATGGAGCATCAACGCAATCAGACATTAAAGTTCTCTTTAAATTCATCAATTAAGTAGATAAGTACAAGGCCACGTGGTTTAGATACAGTATCTTAGTAGTTAGAGACCATGTTTAATTGCGCTTTAAAAATTAACTTATATTATCATCTATGGTATAATTATACCATAATAATGGTTTTCATTACAATCATGTTTTAAGCTTGACTCGATTTCTATAAAACCATTACAGTGTTTTCACTGCAATAGTGGACGTCCTTGAGACGATTGTGAAGGTATTCCACTTCAATCGACCAATGAACATCACTAAAAGCAAAGATATCGTGTACCGTAGCTATTTTTAGAAAACCAGGCTTAAAGCAGATATGAGTAGATTAATTCATGGTTTGAACTGTACATGCCCATATCCATGGACAATCGGAGGTCAATCAACATAAACCTATGTTGTGTGTACAGTATGCTTGTTTATGTCGATTGACCTTGATACGGGCATGTGCAGTGCAAACTACAGTACGAAATGACTTATTGAATCTTAAAATCAATAAAGTTTGACTATTAGCTTTCCTATGCTAAGTTCCAGTCAGGAAATATTGTTATTCATCAACTCATTAAAACTACTTTATCCATTAAAAACATCTATATTCTGAAAAAAATAAAAATAAAAATAGACTTTTGTCCAAAATCGTCTGGGTGTCAAATCGAATATTTCCAAAAGAATAAAAAATATTATATGAAAATTAATAAATTAAGCAATTCAGCACCAGTGGATTATGGTGCTTTGTTGATTAATGCATTGTGTTAGCCTACAGTAGGTCTAAAGCATGGATAGTTCCACCTGGACACACCTATTTATACAGTAGCTGAACTGTTACATGCAAGTACAAACACAAATTGATTTAAGTATAGAAATATTTTAAAATATCTGTATTGCCATTAATGACTGATGATTATTAATAGGTTGTCTTATACTGCTCTGATCCATTCTACTCTATTTTAGTACCAGTAGTAAAGCAAATGCACATGATCAGAGTTGGATATATTTATTAACACAAACTTGTTTAAAGCTTTTTAGTAAACTACAGCAGTCTCTGAAGTGCTACTGTTTCTTTTACTCTTAATCTGTAACAATGTAGCAAACAGAATATAATTAGGCAATTATTTACCTAGATAGCAGAATAATTATACTAATGTTTCCACTGTACATTGTCACAAATATATCTATAAATGGATATTTCTAGAGTGTCAATTAAAATAATGTAATCAAATTATTTACACTGTCGTTTAGTGAGACTTATACCAATAATATACAAGGGACAGGGCTTAATGGAAGGGTCCACTGTGTGGTATTGTGTGATCCATTTTGGCTGCTGTTTTGGAAAATAGATACTCTCAGGTTTGGTTTTGCCCACGAGCACCCTTATTGCTTAAAGTTGCAGCTAGGCCCTAGTCCTATTCCTTGCAGTATCATATAAAAGTTGTTGAGTTTTTTTGCACATAAGTACAGTACAAACAATTAGTGTCTGTTCAACAATAGGAAAATTACTTAGATATTAAAATGATGTCAGTATTGACATACATCTTAAAATAAAAAATCACTAAACCTTATGCCCATACAGTTATGAGCTTTATAAATCGGAGTGTAAATTGAAAAAATTCCAGGGCCTAGCTAAAAGAAGGTGCAAATTCAAAAACACATTTTAACTAATTGAAAGATACATCAAAAAAAATAAAATTATATGTTTGGTTGTTTCTTCTGCTTATTGATGTCTGACATCTGGATATAAATACATAAAACGGATTTCATGAAACTTATCTTCATTGACCTCATTTCCGCCATGTCGTGGGTCAGTGGTTGAATACAGCGCCTGGCAAGAGTGGCAACGATATCCGAACGTTCTGAAGGGTATACTGTAGAATAGGAAAATAACGCTGCTACAAATACTTATTTTGATCATGAAATATAACTCAAGATCGTAATTAACTAAAGGTATATTCGCATTGTATTTCCAAGGGGAAGGGTAAATCTACTTTGGACAACTCGTAACATTGTTCACACTTGGACTTAAATACACAGGAGACAAGATTTTGCACATGCATTGGAATACATCATGTAAAAATTACATTGATGCGTACGGTATTGAAACATGCTCAGGAAGACTTAACCGAGTTCTGCAATGGACTTTTCTGCTTATGCACTTCAAACGGTTACTGAAATCAATGATCTTGGGAGTCATTATAGTTAGCAAACTAACTTTTCACTCTCATGCAGCACAGTGGCTCAAAAAGCAAATATGTGAGGTCTCACTACAAAATGAGTCTCATCGTTAGAATATCAAAAAATGTGTTTATATTACATTTCGGTAGATCACATTATAAGCTTTAATTTGGTTTTTGAATGGCTTCCCTAGGATAAATAGATCCAGAGATGTTAGCATTTAAAGATTAGGTGTATGAGAACCAGGTTTTGAGAAAATCGGCCTCAAAGATAAACACAGGCGTAAGCCTTAAACGTCTCAAGATCAAGATAAACCAAGGTAAATTTTGGAACAAACAGCCCTGTTATTCTTTGCAGGCAATGTTCACGGTTAAAATTGCCCAGTCTTGGTTAATTTGTCCAAGGAGAATTTTACAAAAGTTCTTTGCAGTGGATTCATTTTAGGGTCAAAGTTTGGCTAAATTTTATCTTAAGCACTGTCCACACTATATCGCTTTTATGTGACAAATTAATGTGATGTCACATAAAATGTGACAGTGTGGACAAAGTTTAATGTAACCTGAGCTTTAGGAAGACTAACTCCACTCGACTGACATACTTAAACTTACCTTCTGGTAGAGTCTTTCCAAATTCAATTTGGCAGCCATTGTTGCTTGAAAGAGTTCGCAACCAGGGAACATCGGTGCTGAGCTTAAACCTGGAGCTGCCTATGGAACCTACAGCGAATACAAAGAAAGGTTGCCTTTGTGAATTGCATAAGATAAGTAATAATTATATATATAACAGTAATGAAAATTCATGTTGTTTTAATTTTTAACATAGAGAATCAAAAACTAATATTGTTAATGTGTTGAGCTTTTTTTTGTATGAAACAATAATACAATAAATCAACTTAGCAAATAATAAGTTTTAGGAACCAAAACCACAACAGTTGTGTCAACTACATTCATAGATAGACAAACAGGAATTTAAATTCAGAAAGGAATTCAATTTGGGAAAACTTTTTTTTGGAAAGAATTCAATATAAATACAAAATGCAAACAGTGGCCACCCAATGAACATCAATCTGATAAAACACATTTAATGAAACATTTAAAAGCATTATAGTATAAAACATGTTTTAATCACCTCCACACTGATGTCCAAATAATAATACTGTAATAATAATATTAATAATAATAATAATTGTAATTTTTATATTACAGTTGAACTTCCCTAAGTCGACTTGGCCTACCTCAAATAATTTCTAAGTCGATCTTATTTTACATGCCAAATTTTTTTTCATTAATTAACGACCTGTCAAAGTCAAACAATTTTTCAATGCCATTTTGGATTCAAATTAGGCAAATTCAACTGAATTTTATATGGTTTATAGAAAATAAAGATTACTGATATTATAATTATACATTATAAATAAAATCAGATAATACTGAATTCTAAATAATTCTTACATTTTGTGATGAATATGTTTTTTGGCACTGATGATTTCCTTGTTTTTTTCTTTCCTCTAGAATCTTCTTCATTTGAGTAAGTCAAGGTACTTATATAGTAGCTGCAGTATCAAAAAGAAAATACATATTAATAAACATTGACATACAGGTAGAATTATTTTCATAATCAAATCAAATCAAATTTAATATTGCGCCATTCCAAAAATTATTGCTTGTGGCGCAGTGGACTAGATGCTGCACTTTTCAATAACTTTCTCCTCCCCTGAGGTCGCTTCACTTTCATCCATCCATGACAGGAGCCGAGTGGACTAGTACTCCAGGGTAACCCCCTACTCTTCTTGAAAATTGTACTGGGTTCTTTAAAATGCACATGAGCATTTGTGTACACTGGGCCTACGGTTTATAGTCCTTATCCCAGGAGGCTTGTTCCACCACTAGGAACTAGGCGGCCGCGAACCCGTGCCAGTATTTTGGGCTATGGTTACGATGCCCCGTTAAGAAGTGTAATACTAGAGCATAAAGGAATGCACATAAAGGTGAAGATGTTGAACTGCTTTAATACTATTTTTTAAACTGTCAACAATTGTGTCATACTTATTCAGCCATGTGGTAATATCCATCCAATTGGCCATGTAAACACTGCCCTCTACACTCCCTGTTGAAGTTTTAGATTCTATAGCATACATGAGCTGATATTTACAGTGATCAATAGCAAACAACCATGACTCCAAGGCTGATTTACTTTTCTAAAAGAAATACAGAAAGACAAACTATAAAATTGTGTTAAATATGGTAATTACATGGAAAATTTACAATTTATGATTTAACTCAAACAAAATCAACTGACAACTGGCAACTGGTGAGCAATGGTGGACAGTTTGTGACGACATGATTAAAAGCAACTGAAACTTGCTATCACTTGCCTACATCCTATTTAGCTGCAATCTGAAGCAGTTGGAAAGTACAGTAATTAAATTTGGTCATATGGCAGTTAGTAACTACATATCACTAATCTCTTAAATGTGTGTGTACTGCACACTACCAATGTACAATGGAAGTGACATAAGCATGTGACGTAAATTAAGCACTCCGGGCAACTGGTTTTAACCTGTTACTTGTATTTGTGCAATTGCAAGGGCAAGTTTAACTTGTCAGAATGCAAAATTGTCTACATGCAGACTGTGTATATACATTTTAGTGGGTATAGTATCAAAGTGTACCCACAATGTTAAAAGATAAGTTCAATTTAATAGTTATAGAATAAAAAAAAAGTTTCAGATAAAAAAAAATGAAAAATATAGGAGTTACCATATTCAGTGTGCTTAGCTTAACAAAGCGACTGCAAGTGGGTGGTAACCATGTGAGAGGCTCTAGTACAGCAGGATTGCTAAGACGAGAGACTTGGGAAAAGTCAATATGGGCAAGACTAGGGCAATTCTTCACTTTCAGGTTCCTTAATATCCTCAGATCATAACCTAAAAATCAAGAAAAAAACTATTTTCAGTATCCAAGTATATACGTGTATGGTATATCTTAAGAGGCGAATGATTTGAAATGACATTAAGCTGGGCACTCCCTGGGGCCGATTGTTGTCGGTGGACATGATCCTATCTATGGAGAACACAATGCCACACGGCGTGTGCAACGGACAGTTTTTAATGACATTCGTTTAGACTGCCAACTACAATCAGCAGACAGCACCGTCTAGTGCCCACATGGAGAGGAGATGAAGTGAGTGTCCGGCTTTAAGGCCTGTTTATACTTCAACGACAACTATAACGATAAAAAAGTTAAAAAGCAATTGTTCATATAGAAAACAAAAGAAATAAGAGGTTTTACAATAGGACGATTCGATAACGAGTTGTCGTGTGTACGATAACAAAATATTTTAATTTTATTTCTTTTATTTTCTATATGAACAATTGCTTTTTAGCATTTTTATTGTTATCGTTATCGTTGAAGTATAAACAGGCCTTGTATTAAGTCTTGATCTAAATTACATGCACAAATTTAAGGAATGGAGGAGTTTGCACATTGCACATGTTTGATTCTGGATGAATAACATAATAAAATATACATTAAGCTATTCTGTCTGAAATATGCACCAACAGTTATTTTAAATGCTGTGGTAAGACTGATGTGTGCTTAACCTAATTAGTAACAGAAAAAGAAAAACCAAATAAGAACTGAGCTTACCTGATAATGTTGCTAGTTGAGGACAATCTATCAGATGGAGATGTGAAACACCACAAGACTCCATAGTCAAACCTTCCAAGGTTTTTGATGTTATTACCATCACCTGCACTGGATCATCCTCTGGCACGGGATCACTTGTACTGGTCGACTGGTTTCTAGTTGAAACTTTCCTTTTCTTTGGCACTTTTGAGTCATCATCACCATGTTTTGTCCTTGAAGAACAAAAATCCATGTTACCTGATGCAAGGTGATTACCGAGATGGAACACTTGTGCTTTTTGTTGGGCTGGATAGGATGACTCATTACTTGTGACAACTGGTAAATGTTCGAATTGTCTTTGGCTTGATACAGAAGAAGCATTTGCTATCTTTGGTATACAGGTCTTTGGGACATTGAGATTGTCTTTCACAAGATCAGAGTTATTATTCACAGATGCCTTTATTTCTGGAACTTTGCCAATCTCCTCAGATTTACATGGACCTAGATGGCTCTTTCTCAATTGCATCTCATCAGTGTTCAAAACGGATTTGTAAGACCTTTTACATTTTCTTGCTTTGATAGAATCATTATTGGTATAATTGTCTTTCAAGTAAAGATGATGATAATTATCATCATCATCACCACAATCATTCTCACTCTCTGCACTGTCCTCATAATCTTCATTTGTTACCTTACGCTTATATGACCCCAAGGGACGACTACTTATTTTCCGCTTGTTCACTTCTGAAACAGCTGGTCTGTGTAATGAGTTAGATTGTAAAGATTTCTCCACATGCTCTTTTTCTGTGTCCTGCTGTTCTGTGTGCAAACTGCTGTTTCTTGGAACAGACTGTCTCACATGTTGGACATCTGGCTCCTGTTCAAGACTATACAAAGGTCCATTATTTGGTATAATAACACTACTCTGTCCACTATGTGTCCGCACAGCCCTGATCCTCATCTGACCAGAATGGTCATGATAAGTACATTCTTGGACATACGCTTTACAAGTGAGACCAAAATTTTCCTCGAGTGTTGGACATCTATTCTGCATCCCAGTAGTTTGTTCAGATGATCCCTGAGACGTATCACCTTGTTTACTTGTTGATGGTGCTACATTTTCATTGGTACCTATACTTTCACTGGTTTGAATTTGCCTTTTTCTTTTTCGCAAAGGTGATGATGAGGATTGTTCTGACAACTGTGAATCATACTCCATATATATACCTGGGTTTTGCATACTGGATGTTAGGGATGATGATCCACAAACAGAAGATGAAGGTTGAGATAAGTTTGAAGAGGGCATTGAAGGTGATGGCAGTGCAGCAGATGGTAACGATGATGATGATGATACTGATAGAGATGATGATGCAGAAGGAGATGATAGTGATGATGAACTACATGACAGGGTTGATGGTGATGATGTAGATAACACTGTAGACAATGAAGAAGATTTTGAAGACATTAAAGGAGATGATGTTGTTGTTGATGATGATGATGATGATGATGTTGATGATGATGATGTTGATGATGATGATGAAGATGGCGATGATGATGGTGAAGATGATGATATTACTGATTTTGATTGTGGCTTAAACTGTGGCTGTTGTGATGCCTGATGCTGCTTTAAAATATCTCCACTGCCTGACCTGGATATCTCTGCAGTAGACACTACAGGCTGAGATGTATTTGCACAAGAACTTGATTTTCTTTTAATACTTCTACTATCCTTAATCTGATCTAATGATTGCCATGAAAACTCATCATTCATTTGTTCTTCATCTTCATCTCTGCATACTCTGACATGCAAGTCATCTGTAGAGCATCCTCTGTCTGATGCTGATCTACTACCATACAGTCTGGAAGTTTGTACATAAGATGTACTAGACTCAGTCAGGTGAGAAGATGTTCCTCTTTGATGGGTAGTCGATTGACAGGCTTTCTCATTTGACAATTGGTTATCACTACTAGCAGGTTCTGAGTGTAAATGCACTTCATCATCTCTGTCTTCAGCTTGATCTGGATTTATATTGTTTTCTGGTGACAAAAAAAATAGTTAATTGTTAATTAATTGTTAGAATGACTCAGGACTTGCTTTCTTTGATAATTATACCTTCTAAATCAATCACATGACCTCCAAAATTTGCTTCATTTCTTGTTTTTCTACCTTTGCAACTTTTCTTTTAGACATATGCAGTGAAAATCAAAAGGACCAGAAGCTACAGGTTTAGCCTGACTTACCATGTTGATCATCTGCTGCATTGGGCGAAGGATCCATTTGACCAATGGGTGCCACAAGTGCTGAGGACACCCCTAGCCCAGTTCCTGCACTCAGTCCAACCATAGAACATCCTTTAGGGGGTGCACGGAACATGTGCTCGAGTCGCACATCATGGATAACTGGCAGGTCCGTCAACCACTGGCAGAACTTGTCCAGTTGAATGGAATGACAGCGATCGAGGTGCAGACTCTTCAACCATTCCCACCTCTCTGAAAGTAAAGTCAGTCATCATTATCAACTGTTGCTGTTTTTATTTATTTGAATACTTTTATTACCTGTTACCTGTTGATACCAATTTAATTCAAATATTATTTCTTAATTCAGATCAGTGCATTCAATTCAATAACATAATTCCCAATATTGGTAGACCATGTGATGATTGCTATTGTGTACTTGTGTGTGATGTTTCGATCTGGTGTCAACCAAGCTTCCTCAGGCAATGTTGCTAAAATGCTTATTGCATGTTTTGATGTTTATTGTGTTGTTGATCAAAATGAAAATATAATCCTTGTTGTCCTTGCTATCTTTGTCATTGTCTTTGTTGTCATGATTGTCATCACTACAGTACTGTATGTACATTTTGTAAAAGCAGGAACAATTCATGGAACTTTCTTTCCTTAAATTAAAATACTCAATTCCTTTATAATAGCATATACAGTACCTTTAATCAGTCACAATAATCATTTTGTGCTCTGGAATAATATATTGTTGCAGTACGTTTCAAATTGATATAGAACTTTAGCTAAATGTTTAAGATGTTATGAATTCAATATTATATTCCAATTATATATACAGTAAAAAGTCGCATGCTTTTTAAAACTTACTCTGTTCTAAGCACCACAAGAGAGGGTTTTGCAGGTGAGGGCAGTTATGAATTGTCAATGAGATTACAGAGTTGAACACAATCTCTACAAGGCTCATTCCCAGATCTGATATCAACCCAGGTGCTTCTGAATAGTCCGTCAGGCCATACTCCACAAGCTTAGCATTTGTCCACTCTCCAGACGTGATGGATGGGTGGACAAATCCTAGCTCCAGAGTCTCAAACATGTTGAAGCTAACCTTGGCCAGCCTAAGAGCCCAGAAAAAGCTGTCTTTGGTAAGAGATGGCTGCAGTGATAGTTCTTCTAACCAATACTCTGAAGCCAGGAGAAGATAGCCTATATCAGTCTCAAAGCAATTTTTGCATGTGCTTATTCGGACCTGTAATTACAACAAAATATAATTTAATAATAATTAAACAAATACTAATGTATGTAAACAAAAATGTTCAAACTTGGTGGATAATACTGTATAATATTTGAGGCTCCTTATTATAGAATATAGAATAACATATAGTATTAGATTAAGTCAGTACAGTAACCACAAACAAATTGACAAACCTTTTCAACTCCAGAGAAACCACCTTTCTTCCAAACGTCTTCAACCACATGCTGCAGAAGACCACCAAGAAATGGAACCCTGACCAAATCCAACCTACGGAGATGTGTTGCATTGCCCAATGCTGTAAGCAAGGGAACATAATGCAATGGGTTTGTTGGGCCAATACAGTTATGCATCATGAATGAGAGAAGCCATTGGCTCTGAAATTGCTGGAAAGGCTGTGGGTTGGAGAACTTGACAAACTGAAGATGGAGCTCATCAAGTCCATTCAGAGCAGGAAGTTCCGACAGAAGTATTCCATACAGGTGTAGACAAGTGAGTTTACTGGTGGATGGTAATGTCAGTTGTGAGTTCTCATTACAGGGGAAGCATCCTCCACGATTACGGAAGCGTCCAAGAATTTCTATATTTGGCAACTCGATCAGAATAGCTTCAAGAAGATGAATGTCCGAAATCTCTACACCAACAAGACGATGACAAAGCTGCAGAGCATTTGTGATACCTGGGATACTGATGCATTTCTTACTGTTATCTTTCCGGAGAAGAAGATTACTTGGATGCAATCCATAAATGTATTCCAGTTCATTGCACCGGTTTAAAAGTAGTTTTAGTGCATCATCATCAATTGCGTCTGGCATGAATCCATACCATTTGTCAGATGTAAAGTCTAGGGACTTGACTAGCTGCAAATGCAAGCCAACTGCCTTCTGAAGATGCCTGGACAAACTTTCTAACCGCAGGAGTGACTGGACAGGAAGGTACCTCAAAATTTTTACTAGCACTTCAAATGAGAGTTTGCTGAGGTAATCTGGTGGTGGAAGATGTATTTCAGCCTCCATACTACCAAAATTAGACTTTGAGCTATGTTAATCTGAAGTATAAGAAAATATCTCCATGATAAGAATATTATTTTATAAACCATGATCTTAAATTGATGCTTTTAATTTCAATTTTCAACAAAAGATATATTTTCTACCAATGGTAAAACAAGAAAATGCAAAGTTGGAAATACAAAGTAACACAAACATTTTGAGAAGAAATTTACAAAAAAAAAGTAAAAAAATAAAAATAAATAAAAAATTGAGGGAGAAAAAGCAGCTCAATGGGTAACAGCATGAGGAATTACGAAAAAAAAAAATGCTTGGTACACAATAATTTAATATAAGTAAAATAATTTTAATATTATTAAATAAGATAGATACATTAGAAAAATTATTTTGTGGTAAAAACAATGTACAGAATTTCTTTTTTATCAGTGCCCATCTGTAATTTTTTATGATTTAGCAAAACTCATGCAAACCAAAGTTTAAAAGAGATTTTCCAAGAAGCACAAAACATTCCTACATATCTATTTTTATTTAAAGTGCCTTTATTGATCACACTGAATATCAGCCTCTTCTGGGCAAATCTTAAAAAAAAATTATTCATTCTGGAATTAACCATCCCACTTCAAACCTGAATTACCAACTGCACATTCAAGGAAGTTTAAATAAATATTGTGATTTTAGAGACGCTGGTCATGAGGTCAATCTCACCCTTCTTGAAATCGGCTAATGTGGGTTCATCTCATCTTTACAATTTTGAGACACCTCTTGAAAATTTTATTTCATCTTTTTTCCATTTTCCATGTCAAAGATAAACCCATGTGGGCTGTGTTCCCTATTTTAAGAATTTTAATTTCTTTAAAGTGTAATATTTCACTTAGAATGAAATCTACTTTTTTCCATTTTTCATCCAATAATTTTCAATTGCAATGTATATTTTTTTTAAATAATCTATTCCTTTTCCACAGTAATAATTTTCTTCTCTCCTTGTCTGTAATGTTTTGTCTCCTCTTTCTTTTCTTTGTAATCTGTTTGGGCTTTGTTTAAAATTAAACAAATGATATTTCGATAAAAAAAAAAAAAGACCTCACCAAAAAACAACCCGTCAAACTTGCATAGTTTGGAAATTGTGCAAGGATTTGCAAGTTGTGCAAACAGTTTATTGTACACATTTCCAATGCCACGGGGGAGGGGAGGGCCTAGGCTAGGCTAGGCCTTAGCCTAGGTAAGTAGTAGTAGCAGTAGTACAGTAGGCTAGGCCTAGTCCCTAGGCCTAGATCTTAGGTCAACAAACCAAACATAGGCCCAGGCTAGGCCTAGGTCCTAGACTACGACATTACGTAAGCCAGCAGTCGATTGTTGATTGGAATTTCCGTTGATTGAAGGCCGACTATCACTTGGCTAGCTAGGGACTACTGTATGTAGGCCCTAACCTAGACTAGCTAGGCCTGTTTATAGCCTTACTCACAGTGAGTGCACTGAGTCAGGCCTTGGGCCTAGCCTATCTAGAGGGTCAGAAGGCTAGGCCTAGTGAAAAAAAAATTATAAAAGTATGCAAATTTCTTAGAACTCACCCTATTGTAACATTAATTCAGATGGATAAAAACCACACCAATATTAATAATAATAATACTCTAGTGTAGCTTTTTAGTTCTAGCTACACTCAAAAGGCCTAAACTATGTCTCGCCTAGGCCTTGCACTCTTCGTAAATACAGTACGTACCAAAGATACTAGAAATCAGGGTTGCCAGATAGTCGACAGGCTTCACGGCCAAACACACACCATCTCACGGCCAAATTCGGCCAAACTTTTTTTCGATATCGGCCAGAATTCGGCCAGATTTTAATCCGATTAGAAGACAACAGTGGGTACATTCATTTGAAATACTACAAAAATGACACGAAAATCAGCGATCATTCGCTTGAAATTGAAGAAATTCAAATGATATACACAAAAGAATGTTAAAAATAAATGTTCTTTAGTTGCTGGCATGTAAGGCAATTCAGGGGAAAATCCAGAGATGTCCGAAAGGGGGAGGAGCCGGGGCCGGAAAAAGGGGGAGGGTGGCGAGGGGGCGAAAGTGGGTCCGAACGAGATAACACCATCTTTAGAGGAAATTTGTCTTTTCTAGACACCTGAAAATAACCTGATGCGTTTCGGCGATCAATTTTTCTTTCTTTTTTTTTTACCACCCCTCCCCCTTAAATCCACCTCCGCTATTTAAAATCACAATATTAAGATCGATCTAAATTTGATTTAAATGTGTTAAATATTAATGTACATTGTAGTAGATCTATAGCAAAAAATTTAAGGGCCTGTTATTGGCAAATCAGTGGCTCTCTTTAATTAGAATGAATTAAGTTACATAGTTAGGTAACACAAACTGGCGTTAAAACAAACCTATGAAAACTTTAATAGGCCTAAATACTTTTTATCTAAACTTTCTAAATTCGCCTCTGAACGTTACTGTCGGAGTACTTAAAGCAATAAATCAATGTTGCTATCAGAATTACCTTCTTCATTCTCATAATTATACAACCTAACTCCAGCTTCGAAGAAGTCTCTGCAACACTTGCTTGAAATTGGAGGTACCATCGGACCCGTATGATCACATCGAGTATATATATGGCGCTCTACATAAAGAACAATGCAGCACCTAGGGCTATACAATTCAAGTGGGCAATAATAAATTAATTATTAAAAGTACAGTATTTAATTTATATTCAAAAGAGATGGAACCTCCACTAGTAAGATGGAACATATACAAAGACACACATATGGTACAAACTTGCAATGAACTGCCTTCATAAAGCTTAAACGAGGATAAACTT